CCAACGTTGGGAGGGGCAGGGAAATTGCACCTTTATCTCAAGGGCCTTTGTTCTTGCCATACAGAATCTCTAAAGCAGATATACAATGCACGCTCAATGGCCACGGTCAGGCCCTTTTGGAAAGACAAGGTCAGGCCGAATTAGGTTTATACCAAATGGCTTCCTCATATTCTCCAATATATCCTATTGCTTGCCATTTTTATTTGTCAAATTTGAGGCAGATTAAGAGAGTTCTTGGCTTCCACAGTGAAGGGGTTGCTCTTTATGATGCAGGCAAGATGGAGCTGTTAAAATTTCATGAGCTGGAGTATAACCTCCTCTTAGCTGTGCTTTATCCTGATGGCTACAGGGGAGAGGGACTCAGAAGCAGAGAGGGAACCCCGAAGGACGAAGGACGAGAATCAGTCGGGAAGCCGTTGTAATAGTCCAATGAGGGATGAGGTCATCTATCGTGGGACATCTTTCTTTTTAAACTGTATCACGGTTATTTACGGACTTGTTTTATGTTTCCCACAAAATGCACACACATGTGCGCACATGCGCATGCACGCACACACAGACACACAGATGATCACTGCCTCACTATAGAGGGTTCACGTTTTGTCTTGCCAGAATAGATTTCTCTGTTCTCTTGAGGAATGACTCCTGCCCCATTCCCACATCATGCTTCTGCCAGGAATGGTTTATCGCAATATTAAATGATCACATGACCCCAAGACAACCAATCAGAGTTCTTCCCTGGGATTTTTTTCCCACAGAGCTGGTGTGGGAAAGCTCTCTTTCCTCTCCAGTCAGGAGACTGTAAGGAAGTAACCCTGGGCTACCTGTGGCCGTGATTCCAGGCCCTTGGGAACTGCCAGCCTGAGAGAAGAGAGCTAAGAGGGAAGGGTTGAATCTCTGGGCCCATGTGTCTAGAGGGTCAGCTGCTCTCTGGTTTTTAGTGTTTTGTTTGGTTTTTTTTGACATGAGCCATCAATTTCTAAGGCAGTTTTAATTAGGTCCCATCACTGCCACTCCAAAGGGTCCTAACTAATGAGCATATCCATCGCCGCATCACCCATCAGGTCTAGCACAAAGCAGCTGCTCAAAACACAGCTGGAGAGGAGAAAGCCTGAGAAAATGGTCTGAAGAAAACGTCCAAGCCGAGCACAACTTGGGCCACCACGTGCCACTGCCATGGACTGCGCAGATTTACTTGGGTCAGGTGGACCAGAGAGCAGCCCCCACCCCAGGGAGCACCCAATCTTCACATATCTCAGATGCCATCCTCCACTCATCACGGGACAAGGCGTTCTTACTCACAAAGCCCACTGTGACCAAGTCTCTCTCCATCTCAGGCCACCAAGAGGTCCTCCCTTCTCTCTTTCCAAGTTTCAGAAACAAAAGAACCACAATAGGATATTCAATAGAGAATATTTTTCCATCGAGGCTCAGAGAAGGCCTTGCACCCATTCCAGGAGCTATGACCTCCTGGCTCCCACCACCAACCCACTTCTGGCTGAGTGAGCCTCCAGGGGACATCCTATGAGAGAAGACTCCCCTGATCGCTACTTTAAATAACAGTCCTTCCCATGCTCACACCCCGGTGTCTCTTACCTACCCATCACTGTCTCCACCTTTGATCATAACCTAACATGGCATCTATTTATCTATTTTCTGCCCCCAACCCCACTAGAATGTAAGCTTCAGTAGGTCAAAGACTGTCGATCTTGTTCACTGTTCTGTGCCCAACATCTAGGACAGTACTGACACATGGTGTGTTTTCAATAGATATTTGTTAAATGAATGAATGAATGCACGTGCAGTGATTCAAGACTGGGAGCCAGTTAATAGAGAGAGCAGACTGAGGAGCGAGCCAACTTCGGGTCTACAGGAGGTTAAGATGAGTGATAACTTGATATGCCCATGCTCAGGTGGGTACAACACAGAATGGGACAAATGAGACTCATGCGGCACCTCGGTCCAAGTTAGTGGTATAGTTAAGGGCACAGCTATTGTTTTTGCCTACTTAGCAGCCATTTATTCTGACAATAACCCCTGATTTTCCTTGAGTTTGCCCTACTTTAGGTAGGGTGAGCATGTGACCTGATTTAGCCAATCAGCATACCCCACCACTTTGTTACTACTGATTGCTTTTTGTTTGGACACACAAGCCAATTCAGGCAATAAAAATCTGCCACAACAAATGAGAAGAAAAAAAAAAACTTCCTCTCCAGGGACACCGCTAGTAGTAAAGATGACAAAGACTGGAGCTGTTGGAGTTACCACCTGGAGCCTGAGAATACAGCCAACTCAGAGGAAAGCATCACAGAGAAATCTCAAGAGACCTGAGTCTCCTGCTGGATCCAGCAGCTGAAGGTGCTGGACATTTCAATAATGTCAACCAATAAATTCTCCTTTTCCAATTAACTATTTCGAATTTGCTTTCTGACACTTACAACTGAAAATATCCTGACCAATATTGAAGAATAAGAGAGAGATACATTTTCAAGGCTCTTAAATACCTCACAGGGAAGCCTAATGTCAGGCAAGGTGTCGCAGAAATGCAATCCCATACCTTTTGGTGAAACTCATTGCCTATCTTTTTGGCAAGGAGGATGGGGGTTGAGAAGAAGGAGGCAACGATGCTAGTTTTATTTATTAATTGCATTTACATTTTGGGAATGAATTCAACAACTTCATCTCAGGTGTTTTACCATCTCAGCGTCTCACAGTTGTAACAGCAGTGATTAAACAGAATCCAATATTCTACACAGGGCAGGAGAGAGAGCATGAGATGGCAGAAAGAGCCCTGAAGCAAGGGTCCAATAATCTGGCTTCCAATCCTTATCTGATCGCTAATTGGCAGTGTGGTCTGAGGCAAACCATCTTGCTTCTCTGGGTCTCCATTTCTACATCTGTAAAGACAGCATGATGACTACCTCAGCTTTAAGCACCTGTTCAGTTCTGGAATGGAAAGCCCACTAATCTTTGATGTGATCTAAACCCCCCAAAAATATTCATGTGCACAAACACACAATTTTGCATAGTTTCCTGGGGTTCATAACTCTAGAAGCCAATCTATATCTCTAACCTGTCTGCTCTACCGTTACTAGGACACTAGCTTCTGCTTGGATTCCTCTGGTAACAGGGAGCTCACCGCCTTACAAGGTAGCCAAAGACCACTGAACTGCTCTAGAAAAGTAAGTTTGTCTCCATATTGAACCAAGATCTGCATGCTGTAATTTCTATCCATTGATCCTAGTTCTCGAGAGCAAATCAGAAAAACCCGCCTCTCTCCTCTTCATTTCTCTGAAGACTGTTTCTAACTTTTAAGGGCAAGTAATTTATTGGGAGAAATGCAGATGATTCGTCAGGCCAATTATTCCACAGTGCCTTGTTATAAAGATATGTTCTTCCACCTCATCCGAAATACACCAAACACCCAAATGCAAATATTAAATTCCAAATAAGCACCGCCGCTATTAATCTGCATGGTCTAGGTTTTGCAAAGAGAATTATCGTATAAAAATATCTTGAAGGAAATAGCATAGTCTGTTGGAAAGAGCACTGCGTTAAGAATCAGAAGACGTGGAGTAGCACCCTGCCTCTCACCCCAACTACCTGTGTACGGTTGGGCAAGTCACTTAACGTCTCTGAGCCTGTTTCTCATCTGTAAAGTGTGACAAAACCTACTCCCAGGGATGCAGCGAGGATTAAACGATACAGTGTTCGTAAAGCTTCTAGCCCAAGCCCGGCACGGAGCAAACCCTCAATCACTACTCGTTGCCGACCTCGGCCAGCTCGCGGTTCCATTCGATGCGCTCGGCGCTCGTGCACGAGCGAGATGCCCGTCCGCGAGCCGGAGTCTGCGCTCTGGGCTCGACTGAGGCTGCCTGGCCGCTCGCGCTTTCCTCCCCTCCAAGATGGCGGCGGTCGGCGGCGCTGAGGCGGGATCCGAGCGAGCCGAGTGAAGGTAGCGGCGAGCGGAGCCCCCGCGAGGCAGCGCGGGGACCCCTCCCCGAGGTGGCCGCGGCCCCGGCCCGCCGCCCCCCGCCGCCGGGGGCCCGCGACACCGCCCCGGGGGCGCCCCAGGCCCGCCGCGGCCTAGCCCGGGCGCCGAGCCGGGGACTGGAGTAGCGGCCTCAGGCCGGCGCCGGGCCGGGGCTGGAGCGGGCCGGAGCAGGAAGGAGGGCGGGAGCTGTTCAAATGGGGAAGGCGGGAAAGCGGCGGGGCCGGGAGGGGGCGTGCGGCCGCCCGGGGGGCCTCGGGCCGGGCGCCCCTCCCCCTGCGCCGCGTCTCCGCCCTCGGGGGCGCGGGGAGGCGGCGCGGCCGCGGGGAGCCGGCGCGGGCCCGGGCGGCGGGGTCCCCGGGCTGTCAGGGGGCGAGGGCCCGGCCGGGCGGAGGGGGCGCCGGGGCGGCCGATGCGAGGAGCCGCCTTCCTTTCGCGGTCGCGCAGCTTTATTGAACTAGCTGTTGCTGCCAGACTGCCGGGAGCATCCCATTGGTCTGCCGGGGAGACCGCAGAAACGGGGGTCCTGGGGGCTCGCTATCCCCATAACTTGGTGTCCTGTGGACTCGGGGCGTGCCACCCAGTTTGAAGGTTGCCTTCTTCGCGGGCTCGTCCCCACGGGCCCATTTCCCCCACCACTATTACTCGTAGATCCACTTTATTTCGTATCACGCAGAAGAGGAGAAGCATCTCCCTTCTTCCCGGTGGGCTCAGCGGATGGCTGATTCTGTTCCCTTAGAGCAGCATAAATAAAAAACTGAATCCAAAGGAGAGCCTGTTGATTGGACGAGGCTTGTCAAAATTTGTATTGCTGCTTTTTTCATTTTCTTTTTCTTTTTTTTTTTTTTGGGAAATGTGTGTTGTCAGCCGATCTGTGCGGTGGTCCGTGGTTCCGCTTAGTTGCGTTGCCATGAGAGGATTCGATCCCCATCCCAGGCTGTCGGGATCTCTGCAGTTTGCAGAGCTGGCAGGGGCTGTGAGTGCTGCATAGGTAGGTTCTTGGGGAAGGGAGTGGCCGGAATTCGGAGTCGCTGCGTTCTAAGATTGGAGGAAAGCTCGACGAGATAGGAGAAGACATCACCTCCTCCTCTCCCAGAAGTCACGACAACAGCAATTCAGAAACGCAACAGCTGGATGAGCATCTTTTTCTGCGCGGACTGGCAGTCTGAGTTCCCGAAAGGAGTGCTGGAAGAAGAGAACAGGGACTCTGCAACAAGGCTCTCGTCCTGAACTAGCCCTGGATGTCAGGATTTCAGGATTTCGCTCACTGCCCGGTGTCCAGGCCTTACTTTGGCCCGTCCCACTTTTTCAATACTCCTTTACATTCTGGGATCAAGAAGCTTGTTAGTGATTCCTGAGCCTCAGATGGCCTCAAAAAATCACCTTCTGAAACTTTTTTCCAGTGCTGATAATTTGGACTTTCAAAATAACAAAGTACCGTATCCGATGATTTTCGGGTTTTCCCTAATTACTTTGGTAATCCTGAAAATTATGCCTGAACATAACACATATGCTTATCGACCAGTGGAAGATCAGCTCTGCTTCTTCTTTTTCATCTCTTGAAGAAAAGTCCCAAAAGAACCATTTAACAATTTGCACATTTCATGCGTACACATTTTTTTTATCATGGCTTACTTCCATAAAAAATATTAAATAAGCTTTTACTTATGTTGTCATTTCTTAGCATACTGAGAGGAACATAATTGTAAAATCATCCTCCCTCTTGAAGTTGACAACATTGAATTCTATAAACTCCAAAATTATGGAATCAGGAGATTGGGTTCTAACACCTGTTTTACATTGGCCAACATTTAATGTAATTATGGCCTCTGTTTTCTAATGTGAAATTCAAAGCTAATATTTTTCATTTTTGTTAATCTTCACAATCTGCTGCCCAACTCTGAACTCTGAATTTATTGTGGATAATATTCAACACCTGGAAGAGTTACCAGGGGAGTCATCTGATCTTATATAAATGTTGCCCTAACTCTGCCTTTCTTCCACACTGTTGCTTAAGACTTCTTTATCTGGTTTCATCTTTCTTCTATGAGTCAGCAACCAAAACTAACCCCTGATCTGCAATAATATCCTGATTTTAAAGAACCTGGAAATTCAGGGACCGTCAGTCGCCCAAGCTGTGAGTGACATAGTCCGTTGTGTTGAATTTTCGTTATTTAAGCTCTTGGCTGTCCCAATTCTGTAGTGAGTTGGACTTGCCTTCAGGCCCCACTCATTTTTTCCTATAGGTTATTTAATCCTGTAATTTATAAAATGCTCTTCAGCGTTTTTATGAAAGTTTAAATAGCAGCAGGCCTAATCCTAATACATAATGCTGACGCCAGCACGTGTTTACTGTGTTGGTCTGTGCCTCGGAGGATCAGCTCCTAATTTTCTGTCCCCTTTCACAACTTGTTAAATCCACTGGTTGTTTTTCACAGCAGTCAGTTATGAGCCATGAGTGCTTTTTCATAGTCCAGCAAGTGACATTGTCTTCTTTCCTGTACTGTCTTCAGAGGTACTTAATCCTACTCTGACTGCTAGGTGTTCAACTCTGTTTTACGTTAGTTTTGATGTTATCAAAGGGAAGGCCTGGTTATCAGTCTTAGGACCTGCCTTTGCTTTGTATAGAAGTGCATTTTGTTGTTGGCAACACGTTGGTGGCCATATTGATGATGTTGAATATTTAAGATTTTTCCTCTATTATTTTTCAAACATTCTTTGCCAAAATTCATTTGGCATGGAAAAGCGTTAACTTGAGGTCTCAAGTTGTGGTGTTTCCTGGCATTATCAGCCTATGAAAACTAATGAGATCTATATATTTTTCTAATAAACTCAGTATTTTAATGCCAATGAGAGGATGTACCTTTCTGAAACGACTGGATGTGATTTGCTGTGACTTTCTCCCTCTCCTCACCCCTTTTGGGGTTAGCGCCCTTTTGGGTGGAAAGGGGAGGACAATAATTTCTACTGGAGAAAGTTTAATGCTTAATGCTGGAACATGAAAAACTGGCTGCATTCTGTATCTTGCCTCCTCATATTTCTACATGAGACCTGACCTTATACCCCCTCCGTATCCTATGAAAAGCCCTCAGAGCAGGCAGTTCTCCAGTGTATCTTCAAAATAATCCAGTTCAGTCAGTTTCTTTACTCTAGCTTCTCTCACCTTGACCAAGTCCATTCTTCATTCTCCTTCTTCAGAAAGAGGACAAATGCTTGTCTGTGTTTCTTTTCTTAATCTTACGTATAAATCATTCTTGGTAATACTTCTTTTTCTGTTTTCAACTTAGGCATATCTGTGCATTGTATTTTATCTGACTTGTACACTTAAGTCTTTTTTCGTTTATTTTAAATGCAACTCTTATGAAAGTTTCCCTGTTAATCAAATTCATTTTTTCTTTCACCAAAGTTATGTACTTCAGTATTATCCATAACTACCTGAAGGGATTGGCAATGTCTCATTGAAATGTCCCTCAGCGTTTCTAAATCCCATTATAGTAATAAAGGTAAAATAAAATTTAAATAAGTGACCAATCAGACCAACTTTTAAGTACTTCACTAACTGGATGAGAACATTTTCAGTATGTTTAGTGTATAATTTTTAAATTTCCTGCAGGAATTGTGACATTGCCTGTCCTTAACATATTTGAAAAACTTTACCTTAGAGGACAGTTTATGGCTTGTCATCTTCAAAATCAAAATGGACATGTAAACTTGAATGCCAAAAAAATAATTTTAGAAAAATTCAAGACAATATTTAGAACATTTAGGTTATAGCAATTCTTTAAATTAGTGAAAATCTTAATCAAAAATTTCATCACCAGTGGACAAGTGATCATCCTTCCTTGTTTGCCTTTAGAAAGGCTTGATAGTGCTGAAAGCTGTCATATGGCCAACTAATGTGAGTGTCCCTACTTTTACACTGCTATGATTTTGATCAAATTCATACAGCCCAACAAAATGCCTATAAAAAAATTATGCTCTAAGGATCTTTACCGTCCCTGTAATGTTGTCATCATTCCTGTTTAAATCAAAGTACAATAGATTTTAGCCTGTCGTCGATCCAGATGGTAGGATTTTGTGGTCTCCAATGTGTGGTGTAATCTCTCTTCCTTTGCGTCCTACTTTATCTGTGCATTTTGTCACCGTGACTGAACCTATCCCTCTGACTTTATGTCGGTTTTTACTCTGTCTCGATGTTGTCAGTCCTGTTAGCATTTCAGAAATTCACATTCATTTTGAAGTATTTATTATATGGGAAGTATTAATTTATATACTTCCCCAAACAACAACTTTAATTCATGAATCAAATCAAATTAAGCCTAGTGCAGTGCCTACAGTCTCAACCCCAGTGTATTTACAAACAGGATGAGGAGGGGACAAGACACTCCTTTATTCCTGCCGCCCTGCCAGTCTGCCCTCGGATCCCTGTGCACTTCCACCGGGAAGCTTGCCTCTCCACAATGATTTCGCATTACAGGAGAGTTTTCCTTCTTTGTTTCTCAGACCTGGTCCTGTAGACGGGAAGGAGCCTGGACACAGTGACACATTCTCAAAGGCCCTGCAGGACCACCATGGCTTATGATGACTCCGTGAAGAAAGAAGGTATGACCCCTTAATCTGAGAAGCATTCCAAAGGGGGTGTCCTCTTCAATCCTTGCAGCCCATGGACATAGAGACCAGGACTGGCCGTCACAGCCTGGACTCCCAAGTGATGATCCAGAGCACGGTTAAGCCTCCACGTCATCCCCAGACTGGGCCCGTGGAAACGAAAACCAGGACAGGGTTCCAACACAACAGTGTGAACTATAAGTCTTTGTAGTCTATTGGGGTGATCCCCTGCAGCACTCGTGGTCCTTGCCAGCTCCAGTGTGCAGGAGTCTGGGGATAGGAGTCACATGTTGGACTCCCACAGAGCAACACAACACGTGAATCCTTATTCTTTTCAGCCTTACCTCTGCAAGTCTGTGTCCACCTGCCAAATCACAACTAAGAAACCATGGCTGAGGATGCACATTGGGCCTTTGCGTAGCGTGGAAACATTGGTTCTTCAGGTTTGATTCTTGTATTTGCAGCCAAATCATCAAGAAATATTCTTGTCCCCTTGGATCTAGCCCTGTATTCCGGTGGACTTACTGAAACATTATTTTAATTTGGAAATGGAGGGACTGTTGCATTACATGCGTGGTGATCTGGTTGTTACTTACTTGACTTTCTCGTTTCCTCTCCCAAATGGACCTGTGCTGCTCAGATTGCTTTGATGGTGATCACAGCTTTGAGGACATAGGACTAGCAGCTGGCCGCAGCCAACGAGAAAAGAAACGTTCTTACAAAGATTTTTTAAGGGAAGAGGAAGAAATTGCCGCTCAGGTCAGGAATTCTTCCAAGAAGAAGTTAAAGGTAAATTCTAAACGTTTGGATTAGGAAAGTTTTAAACTATTTCACATCATATTTCTTAATATTTAAAGAAAAGTTTCTTTTAAAAACTTCTTAGTAGAAAAATGAACATCATTCACATCTGTTTTTATTATTTTCTGTGTTTTACTTTGTTTTCTGGAGTCAGACATGATCAAAAAACAAGATTGGTTCCAAACTGCTTTTGCCTCATCATCTTACTCTTTGATCAATTCTTCTTTCTCTTTAATTCTAGGATAGTGAATTTTACTTCTTGGGGACGGACACGCACAAGAAGAAGAGGAAGCACTCCTCTGATGATTACTACTATGGAGGTAAGGATGGGAAAGGGCAACAGGTGGGATAAACACATCACTGGTTCTTGGAGTCGGGGTAGGGGAAGGGATCCAGATGTTGCTGACTCAGTGGCCTATTTAACAGGACAGTGGTTCTTGTTCTGAGTGCCGGTAAACCAGTGTGAAGGAGGAGAGAGGTGGAGGGCTGGTATTTTGGAGGATTCAGCATAGAAGAACAGTCTTCATTTGTGATACACCAGGTACCAGGTTCCTTCTCCCCCCGATCATCCACTTATCTTATGCCCATTGTTATCTAGCATCCCTTTTGCCATGTGTCGTCCTGGGCCCTCTGGCCTGCACCTGTGGGTTACTTCTCAGTCCAGTGCATATCCACTCACAAGACCAGTTTTTCTTAGCTATATTCTGCACATAGCTGATGAGACTAACTCTTTACTAGAATGGATTTGTCCTGAACACAGAAACAGATGATACTCTGCAGTGTAATCTAAATTGTAACTACTTGCAATCCCACAGCTATAGTCCATTCTTCTGGGTATACTCTCTTTGGTTGCTTGTGAAGACTCAGTGAAGAAAAACAACTTAGTGGCAAGAACTGTCTCCAGGGTCAGAGGCAAAATCTACCAAGCCAAGAAGCTCATGAGCATCATCTCCGAGCGTTAGGACTCAGTTGAAGGGCCTCCCCTCAAATCATTCCTGTTAGTCTTTTCCTCATGTTAGTTGGGTATTTTGGTGAGAGAGGAAACTTATTGACGTTGCTTTGTCATGAGGACGTTACTTCTCTTGATTATTTCTAGATATTTCGTCTTTGGAATCGTCACAGAAGAAAAAGAAAAAGTCCAGCCCTCAACCTGCTGATACAGCTATGGACCTGTTGAAAGCTATCACTTCCCCACTGGCGACAGGCTCCAAGCCCTCCAAAAAGACAGGGGAAAAGTCCTCCAGTTCTTCAAGCCATTCAGAGAGTAAAAAGGAACACCACAGGAAGAAAGTGAGTGGAAGCAGTGGGGAGCTGTCTCTGGAGGATGGTACTTCCCACAAATCCAAAAAGATGAAACCGCTCTACGTGAACACAGAGACGCTGACCCTCCGCGAGCCTGACGGTTTAAAGATGAAACTCATTCTCTCACCAAAGGAGAAGGGGAGCAGCTCCGTTGACGAGGAGCCTTTTCAGTACCCCTCTCAACAAACGGCTGTGAAAAAATCCTCTAAGAAGTCAGCTCGGGATGAGCAAGGTGCTTTACTCCTAGGACACGAGCTCCAGAGCTTCCTGAAAACAGCCCGGAAGAAGCACAAGTCGTCCTCAGACCCACACTCATCTCCTGGCCCTGAAGGCTGTGGGTCTGATGCCTCCCAGTTCCCAGAGTCCCACAGTGCTAACCTGGACCTTGCAGGCCTTGAACCTATTCTCGTGGAGTCAGACTCGTCCTCTGGTGGGGAGCTGGAGGCTGGGGAGTTAGTGATCGATGATTCTTACCGGGAAATCAAGAAGAAGAAGAAGTCAAAGAAGAGCAAGAAGAAGAAGGACAAGGAGAAGCATAAAGAGAGGCGGCACTCCAAGTCCAAGAGAAGTTGGGGCCTTTCTGCTGCAGCAGTGGGGGAGCCCACAGTGACGCCTGGCCCTCCTCCCAGCAGCCCCTACGCTGGAGCAGCTGCCCCTCCTCCAGCGCTTCCTGGCCTCCACGCAGATGGGCACAGTGAGAAAAAAAAGAAAAAGGAGGAGAAGGACAGAGAGAGAGAGAGAGGAGAAAAGGTAAACCGCTTTATAAGTGGGGCGGGGATAGGGGATGAAGCAGGTTTTCCCTTGGTAGTAGTAAGTGGGCTTGGAATGAAGCGGCTGAGGCCAACCACCGGGAGTGGAGCAAGGTGAGGGCAGCTTTGGAGTGGTAGAAAGTATTACTACCAGTGGCCGAGTCTGTCTGGTCTACAAATAGGAACGATCTTAATTATTCATGGGTTCTCTTAATAGAGTTGTTCTTCCGTTGTGCCAAGCCTGGGTGTAGGAGTACCGTGGCTCCTTCTGACGGGTGCTTAGACTTCATAGAAGGAGCCAACCCCAGCTTCATTCACTCGGCCCCACTGTCTACCCAGGGCAGTTGAGAGTTGGGAAAATGTATTCTATGAATTCATTTTGGCTGAAAAAGATTTTTAAAATTGGGAGAATAGAGAATAATGACCAAGTTAACGGAAGAAGTTAATAGCTTTCCTCCAACTGGTGTTGGCTGCTTTCTGGTATTCTTTTTAATGTCAAATGTGTATTCTTTCACCATTTGAGAGCTTACTGTTTGCCGAGCCCAATGCTATAATACATGCCAAGAGGTGAAAAGCTGGGCAGGACATAGCTGTTGACCTCGGGGAGCTCACTGTTGAGATAGGAATGAGAAATCAGCCGCCTTGGTTTGCTTTCCTTCTCACAACTCGAGAAATTTTCCAGCAGTTGTACTTTAGGGGTTGATGATGATGTCATTAAAGGTTTCCTTTAAAAAATAAACATTTTTTCCCGTTGTCACAGTAATATATTATTTTTCTAGAAATTTAGAAATTCAAAATAGTAGGAAGAAAAAAGCAATCATAGTTTTGCCACCTAAGGACAACCGTTTTCTTCCTTTGTTTATAGTTCTGCAAAATGAAATGTCAGATAAAATCTGAAAGAAAAACTACTAAGAAAGAGAAAATCAAATATATTAAGAATTTGGAAATGGCAGTTTCATTTCAGTCAGTAATTGAGGTGCAAGTTGTTTTCCCCAGTGTAAAGAGTGCCTTTTAACAAAGTATGTGTGTCTCAGAAAGAAAAAATAAAACTACCTTCTGAGTCAAGAATCAATGTGAGGAGAAAGAACTGTATAGTCAAATACTAGGTCAGGTTTTATTTGTTTGTTTATTTGAAAATTGCTTCGCGAAATAGCATATATTCTGTGCAAGATTCTGTTCATCCTAAGAATTTCCATTCTCGTGATATATGACAGTGCCATAAACTAATATTACATGCTGAATGTGGGAGGCCAGGGTGGTCAGAGAAAGCTTGAAAAAGAAAAAGGATTTCAGTGGGAGGGGATGCAGGAAGGGAGGCAGAGAGAGGTTTAGGAAGAAGCGTAGCCAGACAACTAAATCCAGTCCTGCATTTCCAACTGCCTGATCAGTATTTCTGCCTGATGCGTTGGGCACCTGAGACCCACGTGTCACTCACTGAGCTCATCCTCCAGACCCCAGACCTGCATCTCCTCCTGCGTCTCCTGTATTCCCCATGTCCCACCAACCCAAGCTCAAGACTGTGTGCTTATTGTTTTTCTCTACATTTTATTATGAAATTTTTCAAACAAAAAGCGTTCAAAGAATTGTACAGTGAACACCATATGCCACCCACTGAGATTCTACAGTCAATATTTTGCTATTTGCTTTATCATACATCTATCCATCCATCAATCCATCTTATCTTTTTTAACGTATTTCAAAGTAAGCTGTGGATATTATACACTTCACTCCTATACTCTTCAGCTTGCATGTCATTAACTTAAGCTCAATATTCATTTTCAGGGCTTTTTTAAGGTAAAATTTACATATAATAAAATGCACAAATTTGAAGCTTACCGTCTGATGAGATTTGATAAATGCTCACCCCTGCGTGACTAAACGTCTATCAAGATAGAGACGTTACCATCATCCCACAGAGCCCGCACAGCCATTCCCAGTCCCCATCTCCAGAGACAACCACTCTTCTGATTTTCTTCCAACCTCATGGTTCGCTTTTTTATGGTTCACTCTCACGTTTGCCTCTTCCCTGCTCCCTTCTGACTATTTCCACTCAAGTGTTAAGGCTGATAGTCCTCCTCCTCAATAGCTTCCACCCCTTTGTGCCCTCCATTGTTGCTGCCGCTGTCTTGGACCGCATCCCTCCTGCGCTTACTGTAATAAACGGCCTCCTCTCCCTTTCTTCCCCCATGCAATCAATCTTACGGGTTGATGCCAGAATGATCTGAAGTTGCACGTCAATGAGGACAGTCCTCTGTTCAGCATCTTCACTGGGTCCTCACTGCCTCTGTGTTAGCCTGTACGCTTCTGGAGGCCCAGGATCCTGTCTGTCTCGTTCTCCACTCTACCCCTGGTACCTATCCCACAGTCTGGCCTGCTGTGGATGGTCAGTAATACTTGTTGAATGAGTAAGTGTCACAAGTCCAAACCCTTGGCCAAGCCTTCATAATTGTCTGATTTAGCCCTAAACCTCCCTTTTCAGCTCTGCCTCTTCTTAGTCTGCTTTACGCACACTGTGAGGAACCTAAACTTGTTTCCCGCACATCCTCGCCTCCATTCCTCCGCTCATTCTTTGCAGCGACCTGCTTTCCCTTCGCACAGACGGAAGCTCTGCCCTCCCTTCAAGACCTGATCAAATGCCACCTCTTCTGAGACATCTGACCCTCCAGTCAGATCTCACTTCTGAACTCCCACAACACCTTGCTCGCACTCTCTGACTGCACTGATTTTCTTCCTTATGTTGGAGTTCTCTTTGTACATATTCTCTCCCCCTAGTAAAGAGTATAAGCTCCTTCTCGGTGTTTTAGCTCCTTAGGGACTGTTTTAGTCACCTTAATATTGCCTTCAACTCCTCAGTGTCCTTGGTAAGCATTTTATGTTGTATGTCAAATGAATGAATGACTGGATGAAAACAGTTTTGAAAAGGTAGATTGGGAGCAAATTGTAGAGAATTCTCAATGCCAAAATAAAGGATTTGGCAGTAGGCACTTTGGGGTTATGAGCAGGGTTTAGATGTGCTCTAAATGATAATTTAAGGGAAAAATGATAAGAGCTATCCCCAGGTGGATTAGACTAAGGAGAGCGTTGTGACAGACCACTCAGGAGGTTATTGTAGTCCGAGGCCAGTAATGCCTGAGAGAGAGAAAGTTGAAGAGACAGATTCAGGAGAGACTGAAGGAAAAACTGACGAGATCTGGCAACTGGGCTGGATCTGGGGAGCCAGAAACATAAATGAGTATGAAGACGTCCCTTAGGGTGTTGAACCTGGGTGCCTTGGAAAGTAAAATTATAATCTCCTTAAGGGTAGGGACTTATTTATAATCCCCCCATGTGGCTAGCAATTGCTAGTGAAAAGTGAGTTTTAGTTTATGGCAAAAACCTTATTATGAATCAGTATTTGATTGTGATTTTCCAAAAAACCTGAAGTAGTCATATTCTGAATTTAATCATTTATGTATCCAACAAATATTTATGGGACGTATACCTTGGGTTTTTTGTTTGTTTGTTTTTTGTTTTTTGTTTTTTTTGTTTTAGTTAATTTTTATTGAGTTTATGATAGTTTACAATCTTGTGAAATTTCAGTTGTACATTACTGTTTGTTAGTCATGTTGTAGGTGAACCTCTTCACCCTTTGTGCCCACCCCCTACCCCCCCTTTCCCCTGGTAGCCACTAATCTGTTCTCTTTGTCTACATGTTTAAATTCCTCATATGAGTGGAGTCATACAGAGATTGTCCTTTTCTATCTGGCTTATTTCACTTAACATAATTCCCTCCAGGTCCATCCATGTTGTTGTGGATGGAATGATTTTATCCTTTTTTATGGCTGAGTAGTATTCCATTGTGTATATATACCGTATCTTCTTTATCCAGTCATCAGTTGATGGGCACTTAGGTTGCTTCCACGTCTTGGCTATTGTAAATAATGCTGCAATGAACATTGGGGTACATGCAGCTTTTGGAATTGCTGACTTCACGCTCTTTGGATAGATACCCAGTAGTGGGATGGCTGGGTCATATGGTAGTTCTATTTTTAATTTTTTGAGAAATCTCCATACTGTTTTCCAGAGTGGCTGCACCAGTTTGCATTCCCACCAACAGTGTATGAGGGATCCTTTTTCTCCACAACCTCTCCAACATTTGTTACTTTTTGTTTTGGTTATTTTTGCCATTCTAATGGCTGTAAGGTAATATCTTAGTGTAGTTTTGATTTGCATTTCCCTGATGATCAGCGATGATGAACATCTTTTCATGTGCCTATTGGCCGTCTGTATATTTTCTTTGGAGAAATGTCTGTTCATGTCCCCTGCCCATTTTTTGATTGGGCGGTTTGAGTTTTTGTTGTTGTGTGAGTTCTTTATATATTACGGAGATTAACCCTTGGTTGGATATATGACTTGCAAATATTTTTTCCCAACTAGTGGGTTGTTTTTTTGTTTCAATCCTGTTTTCATTTGCCTTGAAGAAGCTCTTTAGTCTGATGAAGTCCCATTTGTTTATTCTTTCTGTTGTTTCCCTTGTCTGAGAAGACATGGTGTCCGAAAAGATCCTTTTAATACTGATGTCAAAGAGTGTACTGCCTATATTTTCTTCTAGAAGCCTTATGGTTTCAGGTCTTACCTTTAGGTCTTTGATCCATTTTGAGTTTTATACCTTGTTTTTTAAACCTCACCTGTGAGCTGTAAGAAATGGCCTTTCCTGGATTTTATTTCGGTATAAAAAAGAACTCTCTAACCATGTGCCTAGAGGAAGAAAGGAATGCTTCAGGAATGGTGTTCCCTCATCCAGTGGTAAGCAGAGACTCGAGAGGCAGCTGGTGGAGTGCTGAAGGCCTCTGTGCGCTCCTTCTACTTTAGAGTCTGTGACCAGGATGGTAATGAAGGGGCTGGCCCCGGGGCCGAGTGGTTAAGTTCGCGTGCTCTGCTGTGGGATGGTAATGAAAATAGAGAAGCAAGAAGAATGGCTGGTTTGGGAGAAGAAGAAAAGTTAAGATTTTAAGGTATAAG